GCCTGGGCACAAAGTGAGACTCTTGTCTCAAAAAAAAAAAAAAAAAAAAAAAAACAAACAAAAAAAAGAAGCAGTAGAATTAATCAAAGTATGCTCCTAAACTCTCCACACAGTTTTGCCATCTTAATGGTAGTTTGTTTATGCCAGCAGTGAAGAAGCCTGGAAAGCAAGTGGCTATGACATCGAAAAAGGCGTTTTCCACAGCTTCTTGAGGATTGAATATTTTTCCTTACAAGAAGTGGTCCAAAGCCTGGAAGAAGTACTAGTCAGTTACGTCTTGCTCATATCTCAAGTGCAGAATAAGCAGTCCAGAGAAGGTTCGACAGCTCTGTGGCATTGGGGACCTAAGCTCCTTCTGACTTGCTGTGCTCTAGCATCCCCCGGGAGGTTGGCCTCACCTTCTTAGATAGAGCAGGATGGATCACTTCCACATTCCAGCCGTTGGGAAAGGGAAATGCATTTCTCTTCCCTTTAAAGCAGGAGCCATGGCCGGCGCGGTGGCTCACGCCTGTAATCCTAGCACTCTGGGAGGCAAGGCAGGCGGATTGCTCGAGGTCAGGAGTTCGAAACCAGCCTGAGCTAGAGCAAGACCCCGTCTCTACTGAAAAAAATAGAAAGAAATTAATTGGCCAACTAACATATATATAGAAAAAATTAGCTGGGCATGGTGGCGCATGCCTGCAGTTCCAGCTACTCGAGGCTGAGGCAGCAGGATTGCTTGAGCCCAGGAGTCTGAGGTTGCTGTGAGCAAGGCTGACGCCAGGGCACTCACTCTAGCCTGGGCAACAAAGCCATACTCTGTCTCAAAAAAAAAAAAAAAAAAAAAAGCAGGAGCCAGAGTTTGCACACATACTTCCCTTGCATCTCACTAGCCGGAACTTGGTTACGTGGTCCCAGCAAGCTGCAAGGGGAGCTGGGAAACGGAGTCACTACTCTGGGTGCCCAGCTGACGTTGGGGATTCTCTTACTGAGGAGCAAGAGAAGAATGTATATTGGGGGACAATGGTGCTCCCGTTCTCCTGTCACTGTTTTTGTCCCTTCTCCACCATCTGGTTTGTCACCACACACTGGCGTAGAGCAAATCAGATCATATGGCTCCACTGTTAAGAAGTTCTTCAAGGGCTCCCCGCTGCCTCCAGCAGTGAGATTTTAAGTGCAGATTTTTGAAAGACTACACTTTTAGGGATCATTTCAATAGTTCATTACTAGAGAAGTTTCTCTGAACATGTAGAGCACCAAAAAATAAAAAAAAAACAAAAATAAATGAAGAGCAGATTTTTCAAATCCCTGAAGTTACATGCAAATTTTACACAGATGTGCATTTTTCTGAAGAGAACTTTGTATTCTCAAAGGGATCCTTTATTCTCCCTCAAGTTACAGGCTCAATACCAAATTCCTAATATTGGCCAGGTGCGGTGGCTCATGCCCATAATCCCAACAATCTGGGAGGCTGAGGTGGGAGGATCACTTGAGGCCAGGAGTTCGAGACCAGCCTGGGCAGCATAGTGAGACACCCCCATCTCTACAAAAAATTAAAAAATTAGCCAGGCATGGTAGCTACTCAGGAGGCTGAGGGAGGAAGATCACCCCAGCCTGGGTGACAGATTGAGATCCCGTCTCTACAAAAAGCAAAAACAACCACAAAATCAATCAAATTCTTAATATCATCATACAAGGGAGATATGTCTCCCAATATCCCTCTCAAATCTCCTCTCCAGTCATTTCTCCCACTGACCCTTAGGTCATTCTGAAATTTTCTCTGGGCTGGATAGGCCATGCCTTTTCACATATCTTTTTTTTTTTTTTTTTTTGAGACAGGGTCTTGCTCTGTTGCCTGGGCTAGAGTGCAGAGGAGTCACAGAGTGCTGGGATTATAGGCATGGGCCACCGTACCTGGCCTTACATACTATATCTTTATGCCTGTTGTTCTGTCTAGAATATCCTGGCAAACTCCTGCACATCCTTATGGCTTAGGGCAAAAGCCACCTCCTCTGGGAGGCTTCCCTGACTCTGTCCAAGTCAGTCTCCGCTGCAACATTCAGACCTCCACCACTTACACATTTCATAGTTGTCATTAGTCTACATCTGCCTCCCCCCACCAAACCATGAACTCTGGAGCCCAGGGCCCTGACTAGATCGTCCACAAATGTTTGTTGAATAAATGTCACTCATGTTCAAAAAAATTGAGTGCTCTTTCCAGAAAAGGAATCTGAGCGTTGCTTCCTGAGTTCCAAACTTGGGTCCAAATTTGTTACTGTCACTTTTCTTCTGGCCTTATCTTCCTTCTCTCTCCTCTGGGAACAGTGACCATCCTTTTCATGCCCCACATCAAAGTTCTCACTCATCTTGGGCCTTTGGTTATGTCCCTTCCTTTGCCTGGAGCATTCTTCTGCTTCTCTTTTCTTGGCTAACTCTTACACCTCCTTCCGAGAGCTTAGGATCCCTCAGGAAGCCTTCCCGGACCCCTCTGCACTCCAGACTAGGCTGGGGGCCCCACCTATGCACCCCCATGGCACCCTGTGCTCTCCTAGGTGCAACATGTCTCGTACTCCATGGAAGTTCGTCCTCCTTCCCTGCTAAACTGCTGCATTCGCTGTGCCTATCTTGCCCTCTAGCACAGCCCAGCCCTGAACACAGTATTTGGAAGGGAGTAGGTGCCTGATAATATGTGTTAAATGAGGGTTAAAGGAAGGATGTCTGAGTCTTAAATTTGGTTTTCAAGAGCTTCTATTGTCTTTAGAATAACACCTTCCTGCAGCTTTTACAGCACCTTCTGGTTTGGCCCCCATGTATTTTCAGTCTCATCTTTTAAAAATCCACCCTTTGATCTCAGTGTCCCACTCAAACACAAGGTCCCCAAATGCCTGCTCTCCCTTCGTTCAGCCCGGCAGTACAATTCTCTCTGCCTGGCACACTTGCCTCTGTTTACCTCTCACTCCTCCATCTTTTCTGGTCACTATCCATTAATCTTTAAGTTTTCAGTTCAGATACGATTCCTTCAGGAAGCCACTCTTTAACTTCCTAAGACCAGCTCTGTTGCCACCCACCGCCGTGCATTGCTTTTTTTTTGACAGGAGTCTCACTCTATTGCCTGGGCTAGAGTGCTGTGGCGTCAGCCTAGCTCACAGCAACCTCAAACTCCTAGGCTCAAGCGATCCTCCTGCCTCAGCCTCCCGAGTAGCTGGACTACAGGCATGCACCACTATGCCCGCTAATATTTCTATATATTTAGTGCCAATTAATTTCTATTTTTAGTAGAGACAGGGTCTCACGCCTTGCTCAGGCTGGTTTTGAACTCCTGACCTTGAGCGATCCTCCTGCCTCGGCCTCCCAGAATGCTAGGATTACAGCCGTGAGCCACCGTGCCCGCCCGGCACTTGCTTTTTGAGACAGAGACTTGCTCTCTTGCCCAGGCTGGAGTACAGTGGTGCAATCATAGCTTTCTGCAACTTTAAACTTTTAGATTCATGCGATCCTCCTGACTCACCCTCCTGAGTAGCTGGGACTATAGGCGTGCACCACCATGCCCGGCTAATTTTTCTTATTTTCTGTAGAGATAGGGTCTCGGTATGTTGCCCAGGCTGGTCTCTGGCCTCAAGTGATCCTCCCACCTTGGCCTTCCAAAGCATGTGGATTATAGGCATGAGCCACCTTGCCGGGCCTCTGGTGCCCTTCATTAGTACCCCTGTAGTACTCTGGGCTTCCCTCTCACCTTCAGTTGGATTTCTCTAGCGGAGAGGAAGGCAAGAGACTGAACTGCACTCACTATGATGTCTTTAATGTTAGGCAGTGTCAGGCACCTGGCAGTTCCAATAAATACTTGTTGAATGACTTTTATACCCGAGGGACAGTGACAGGGAGGCAGGCTGTGTTGTTGGTCTCACCACATCCTGGGCTGAGACATTCCAGTGGAGTGAAGTGGTTATGAGGGAGGAGATCATGTGCTCACATTCAAAACTCAAGATTAAAAGAAAATTGTTAAACATCTCAGAAAGGATGGACAGAGTCTTTTTGAGCATGATGAGTACTAGTCTTCAAACTCTAGGAAAACCAGTTTGCTTTATCTGGTAAATAAGTTGTTGCTAATAGCTCGACTCGAATGAGATATTAAAAAATAAGTTACACGATGAAAGTGGCCACCCTAAGGTGAGATACAGAAATAGATGGTAAGCTGGCAACACAGGTCACAGAACCCCTCCTGCTGTCTGCAGAGACACGATGACAGGTAAGACCCACACTGCACATTCCCAAGAACCAAGAACAGAGAAATGCCAAGAAATTTTGAGACAAAAGATTGAAAGGCAGCATTTTAATATACCAACAACAAGGAGAGGCCAGAGCCCCGCTACTCAAAGTGTGGCTGTGGCCCGCAGCATCGGCATCTCCTGGGAGCGGGTTCGGAATGCAGACTCTCAGGCCCCACCCCACCTACCATTTATCAGCAAGCCCCCGGGTGATTTGTACGCGCATAGCATACATGTACGCAAAGCACTGGGCTAGCCCATTGATTCATGTAGGCTTTTGCTCTTACAATGTGGTTTGAGGTCAAAATAAACCCACTTAAAGCATTTTTAGCTCACTATTTGCTCCATTCTCTCCACCTCTGAGCAGCATGAACACATGTCACTGTTCCTGCTCTGGGACTTGCAGCCTGTCTTATGAATCACAATGGCATAAAGAAGTTTGCTGCACCAGTTCTGTGGACAGCTTTCATGGGTTACACACTGGATCCCCAAACTTCCATCAGCTGCTCCTCACGCAGCACCTGAAGGAGGTAGGTCGTATGAAGATTTCCGTTTTTAGAGATGATGGAACTGGGGCCCAAGGAAGCTGTGATTCACCCAAGGGATACCGAGCAAATCAGTATTTTGGCAAATCCCAGCCAAAATAGGAACTTAACCTTTTGAGTTTCCAGTGTGGGGCACATCAGGCTTTTTTGCTTTTTTGTCTCTCGGTTTTTTATAATGGGGGGGGGGAGAGTTTGCATAAGGGATTTTAAGAAAGAACACATTCAGGTAACCCTTAAGTGAGCTACCGAATAGCAACCAGGCACGTGCAGGGAGGGCCCTGCCCTGCGCTGCCCAGTCCCACGCTCCTGCTGAGGCCAGGCTGGGAGGCTCCGCAGCCAGGAGCCTCGGGAAACCTCAGGGCAGATGTTTGCCATCGAGGATGGGGGGAAAGCACCCGGGACCACCGTGAGGCTGTGGATGAGGCTATGGAGGAAATGTGGCGCCTTCCAGATGACAATAGCTCATCCCCAGGAGGAAGCTCACTTCAATTCATTAATTTCTTTCACAGGTTCGGAATACCTGATTATCACTGGACTCTGCCTAAATATGTGTGGTGTGTGTCATTGGATTGAATTTTTTAATTAATTCTAATTTCCCTGGAGCAAATTGGAGCCACTTGATGACTCGAAAATGGTCAAGACTGTACCTCTGGCATCGACACCAATGTGCTTCTTCCTAACTCCCCTGAATTTAAGATTTCTCTGTCAACGCCATTGAAACAAAGCCCCCAAATGTGGCTTATTCAGCTTATTCTGTTTTACCCATCTGCATGGTGATTCTCCTAGGGTCCTCTAGAGAACGACTGCCAGCAGGTGAATTAAATCCCCTCCCGTCCTCTCTAGACATGCATATTCAATGGGACATATTTATATATGCTTTTTTTAAAAAAACAAAAAGACAGTGCACTTCAAAATTCCATGTAAAAAGTATTGCTTTTCTAATGTGCTACTGTGCTCCTGCCTGCCTGCTTGCTACACGGTGCTACAGTGGGTAGAGTCACGAGGAATTCCAGGCTGAAGATACTTTGGATTTTTGGATGACACCAGTGCAGCCCTCACCTTGCACCTTGAACCCTGTGCTGAAGCCCGTGTAGTTTTGGGGCTTGGCCTAAGGCAAAAACTACAAAGCGTCCTAATGAGCAGAATTACACAGACAGGAATGTATGTGCATATTTGACATAGTTTCTTCTCTGGAGGGGTGGCCCTCTGGCTGTGACCCCTGCCCTCTCCGAGGGTGAGGGAGGAGTCCAGAGAAGGAGCCTTTTGTTCCGGCTGCCAGTTCCACAGCCACTACGGCCCCAGGGACCTGCCCTGCTCCGCGTGGGCCCGCAGAAGCCCTGCGATTTCCATATGGGTGGGTGATTTCAGAACGATGGACAAAGCTGTGCGGCCAGCCTACAGAGGAGAAAAAAAAGGAGAAATAAATTTCATCTTATCTGCCTCCCACCCCAGAGGGGAAGGGCGAGTTGGGAGCAGGGGTGTGCTTGGGGTGATGGAGTCTATTCCAAGCATCCAGAGGCCCCAGGAGAGGAGGAGGTTCAAATGGCATGGAGAGCACAAGAAATGGGTCCCCTTCCATGGAAACGGAACTCACTCCTGGGAATTGGTGCTAGTGAAATAAACAAGGGTCGCTTGGTTTTTAACACTTTTTTAAAAAATTGGAAAACAGAGGAAAGAAAAGAACTCTTGCCATGCTATTATACAGACCTAAATGAAAGTTAGCATTTTGGTATCTTTCCCTCCAATCTTTCCTCCTGTGCAAATTTGTTGTTGGTTTTTAAATAGACGAATGATAGTATACATCAACTTTGAACCTGCTTTTATTTGTAATTTATTGTGCTATGCTATAAAAATTTTCCCTGTTCTTACACAATTTTTCGTTTTGGCTTTATAATAAATTTTCATAATTTATTAACCATTTCCTTTCTATTGCAGACTTTATGCTGTTATCACAAACTCAGTCAAAAAGCATTTTCCCATTGTTAATTATTTCCTAAGGACTGACTCTTAGAAGTGGGCTCACAGCACTGGAGGACAAGCACATTTTTACCTCCTGATGTGAGATGCCACAGCACTGTTTACACTGCCATGGCAACGTGGGGGGCTGCCAGCCTCACTGTCTACAGAAGCTGCACCCGGAGAGGCGCTCAGCAGGCAACTCTGGCCATTCCCTACAGAAAGTTGAAGGCAAAGGTGGACATCGAGCTCTTCGCCGGCAGCTACATTCTCTTGAGTGGGCTCAATCCTGTGTCCGCGATTTTGAAATCTAGACAGTTCCAAAAACCACACTCTTGGTAACGCCTTTGGAGGTAAAACTGAGCCGAGGCTGTCTAGGATCCTTATGTAGCCTAGTGTGAATATTTTTACATTTTGCTGCGAAAATGGGTTTGACTAGGTAGGGGGCACCCAAGACCCCACTAGATTGTTCTCTGCTGTATATACATGGAATCACTTCCTAAAATGAAAACAATTCTTTTAAAGAAGCAGGTGGGAAGCGTTAATACCCAGCTGAAAGCTCTTCAGACTTTCCCTCAGGGCACCAGGATGGAATCTAGCTTCACACTACAATGCATGGCAAAAAACTAACCGAGTTGGAAGAGAGGAACAGAGTGAGCTCCAGGGAGAGGATGTGGCCACTGTGTGCTGGGATGGAGGTGGGGGCTGGTTGGGGGAGCAAGGGAAGGAAGCGGCCTTTCAGTGGGACCCCAAAAGATGGCACACGGGCTTCTCAAAACATATGAAATTCTCCAAAAAGGCCTCGTGCCTCCCTGGACGTTGTTTTACCACCCTTTATACGTTGGTATTTGTGGGGTTGTTGATAAATCTTGGTCTCCAGGGGGTCAGGAACTCGATCTGGTCTGTTCAGGGCTGCAGGCCAGCACCTGGCCCAGTGCCTGTTTTTGGTCGGCACTCAACCAGCATTGCTGAACGAGGGAATGCTTCGTGAGAACGCAATGGCATTGATTTTGAGTTGACGAAGAACCTGAGCAACCTAAATCCTAACGAGTATTTTCTGACATGGGATAATAGCGGAGAAAAAGCACAGAGTTTAACGGATTTTAAGCAGGGGCGTCCTGTCACAGCCCCCTCAAGGACGGGCCTGAGTGCTCCGGCACCCTGCCCTCCATCCTACCGTGCTTTGTGTAAGCACAAAGAAGAGTGTGAGATTACTCAGTTTGGGGAAAGAGCCACAGGGCTGGTCCCAGGGGACATGCACCTTGTAACAGGGTCCATCTGGAGATGACAGCCTGCATCTGTGGGCTCCTCAACTGCAAACACAGAGAGCAGAGACCCCATCCAGCTCAGGAAGTAAGGCCAGAGAGGCTGTCTGGGGAGGGTGAGTGTCCCTCGAATGCCTCTGCCAGAGCCTGGGAACCAGCCTGTGGCGTGTGGCTCCCCTGGGAGCCAGGCGTGGTGACCCCACCCCTCGCTCCCCCCCTCCCGCTCAGCAACACTGCAGGCCTGGCGAAGGAAACCCCGCTGCCACCTGTATAGAAATGGGGGCTCAGGCAGCCGGCACACCTGTGCACGCATGTTGGGGGCGTCTTTCAATATGGCAAGAACTTGTCACAAGAAGACAAACAAGGTATAATCTCTGCCTTCAAGAAGTTTTCCATTTGATGGACATTTGAAAAAAGCTGCCAGAACAAGACCTTCAAAGGGTGAGCTTCTGGGGTCCCGGGCTCAGTCTGCCCTTTTTTCCTCACTCTGGTAGCCCTGAAGAGGCTGGGTGGCCCATTTCCTTGAATTGTCTTCTAAATCTAGGGAAAGTGCCTTGCTGGCTGTTCTGGCAGTTCTACATTTAGATCTAACGTGAAATGCTGATGAGAGAAACCAATGTCACAACATGAATTCTCTCAGTCTTCCAGAGGAATTCCCAAGTAATCCCTGCTGCTAATATCTGAGTCTGCATAGGGAAGATGCGCACGGATGTGATATGGGGATTATGACAAGGACTGGCTTTCCCCTTACACGTGAGGCACCAGCTACAAGCCTTGGTACTCGGTAGGGCCCTGTCCGTAGTTCCATTCTCCCACTCAAACATCTCACCTGGTGCATGTAGACACTGTGCTCGCCCAAGTCACCTTTGGGTGTGAATCCTGAATCAACCCGGATGCAGGTAGGCAGCACCTGACTGGGCCACGTCACATGGGGTCTAGAACCCGCCTTACCTGGGGCATGCTGCCCGCACTGCTTGGGTACCAGTGCCAGCGGCACTTTCCCTAGCATGCTTCCCCTTCTGCTGTGACAGATTTCTGCTCCTTCTCCTGCTTAGCACCCCGGTGCCTCCCTGCCAGGCTTAGAGCCCCGCCCTGGGCCTCAGCCTGGCCTGGTTCTTCCTGATCCAGCACTTCACTGGGACTGGTTATCTAAACTCACTTGGATTTTAGTACTGCCTCAACCAGGCTGTCTCAACTGCAGCACTATTGATATTTTGGGCCTGATAATTTTGATTCTCTGCTGCTCTTGTGCCTTGTTTAGCAGCATCCCTGGCCTTTACCCATTAGCTGCCAGCTGCACTCTCTCCCCACTTATGGCAAATAAAAATGTCTCCAGACATTTTGTCTCCAGGCCTGGTCTACTGCCATCCCTATTTTGCAGAGGAGCACAGAGAGGCTCAGAGGGGTCGGGTGACCTACCCGAAGGCAAACAGTCACTGAACCCAGGTTCAAACTGATGAGCATTTGCTGTCAAAGTCCATGCTCTAACAATCATGCCTGTGTTGTCTAATGTGCTCTTCCTCCATCTCCACTTGGCTCTCGGCCTGTGACAGACCTCCAGAGGTGCCCAGGAGAGCTCTCAGATCCGCTGCCTGATTACCCCGGCTAACCAGGGACTTGCAGGGCTCATGCCTCTTCCGGGCATCAGCAGTGGTCACTCCCGAGAGGACCCTGGGCCTTTCATGCACAGGCCTGTTCCAGATTAAGGGCCACCTCCTTCTCCTCCAGGGCGACCCAGCAGGGAGCTCATTACCACAGATCCTTTGCCTGATGACCCAAAGTTTGGGAAAGGAGGCTCTTATTTCCAGCAGCCCACGCCTGTTCCATATGAATTTCAAGAGTGTCTGCACTCTACGATGATCTCAGAAACGGCTTTGAGGGAAGCTGGGGTTCCCAAGACCTGGACACTGGATGGGGTGCCTGCTCTCCAGGTATGACTGAGGTGCTCAGCAGCTTGAATCACCATTTAGTAAGTGGTGCTGGCCCTGGGCTGGGAGGGGACTCTCTTCCCCTCTGCAGGCTTTTGTTCCCTTTGACTTGTGGCTGTTAAGAGACTATAAAGATGTCTGTTTAAAGCATTAAATTGTAGTGCCAACATTAAGGATGTTGGAGTCAGACCTGGGCTTGCATCTCTGCTCTGAGAACCAGCGGCTTGTAAACCTCAGGACAATTACATGACATCTCTGGACCTGTTTCCTTATCAGTAAAAAATGGGGGTCACTATCTATCTCACTAGATTGTTGAGAGGGTGAGAGATAAGGCATAGAAAAGGTTTAGTTTCCATGAGTTCTCTAGAAATAGTACCCACAGTAATCATCAGGAACAGCATCACTTACTGGTGATTAATCCCCAAAGTTTAGGGGTTCGTTCATGCAATTTTTTTGTTTTGTTTTGTTTTGTTTTTTGAGACAGAGTCTCACTGTGTTGCCCAGGCTAGAGTGAGTGCCGTGGTATCAGCCTAGCTCACAGCAACCTCAAACTCCTGGGCTCAAGCAATCCTTCTGCCTCAGCCTCCCGAGTAGCTGGGACTACAGCTACTATGTGCCACCATGCCTGGCTAATTTTTTCTATATATGTTAGGTGGCCAATTAATTTCTTTCTATTTATAGTAGAGACGGGGTCTCGCTCTTGCTCAGGCTGGTTTCAAACTCCTGATCTCGAGCAGTCTACCCGCCTCGGCCTCCCAGAGTGCCAGGATTACAGGCGTGGGCCACCGCGCCCGGCATCGTTCATGCAATTGTTGATTCATTCCCTAACAGGGGGCAGGCATTCTGCTAGGTGCAGGGATTCGGCAGGGAGCCAGAGACACAGCTGCTCCAATGTGACAACAGCTCCAATGTGACAACAGCGATGATGATAGAACAGTTAAGAGGATGGGCTTAGGAGTATGACGGAGCTGGGTGGCACTAGCCGGGTATAGAATCTGACCATTTGGTGCTTCCATTTCCCTGAGCAAAGTGGCAGCAGCAATGGAACCAACCTCACAAGGCTGCTGTGGGATTTAAATGAGATGGTCCATGGCAAATGCTTGGTACAGCGCCTGGCACACGGTAAGCCCTCCTGACATTAAAGTTATCGCTATTGTTATGGTCATCATCATTGCCATCCCCTATGAGGAAGTTGATTTAAGAGGCCTGAGTCTGGAAGTGCAACTTCAAGCAGGCTGGCTTGGTGGCATGGGCCGCTCCATAAAGTGGATCCGTGTCAGAGAGGCCCTTTCCAGAGTCCCCACTGGACAGCAGAGCCTCCCTGTCCAAGCGGCTGCCTCAAAGCCCACAGCCTCAATGGCCAGACCAGATGAGGCTCAGGCCCAGCAGGCCCACGCATGTGCCCCCAGGGTGGTGTTACGAAAGGTTAGGGTTGGACGTTTCCCAGCTCTGAGGCTGGGAGCATTTGCCCTGGATCATCTCATTTAAATCCCACAGCAGCCTTGGGAGGTCGATTTTGTTGCTCCTGCCAAATGGTCCTTTGAATTCTGCTTGCTGGTTTCAGGACTGGAAGTGAAACAGCTACTTGTTAATTACCTATAAGTCTCACCTTGTCAGTCAGGCTGCTGTCGCAGGCTGGGTGTGCCAGGAGCAGCCGCACCATGTCGGCGTTGCCATGGTGACAGGCCAGCATGAGGGCCGAGGATCCATCGTGGTCCTGCAGGTTGACATCTGCCTGGCAGCTCAGTAGCGCTTGAACCATGTCCTCCCTGTCATGGGCGACTCCCAGCATCAGCGCAGTCTGGCCTCCCTGCACACAGGGCCACACGGTGCGCGAGGTTACTGCCAACAGGAAGGGCGCCCCCTGCAGCCTGGGCGTGCTCAACCAAGACTTCTCAAGAAAATGACCATTGATCCGAATCTCCTGCCCTTGGCACAGGACACGGCCTTCTGTTGGGCACCTTTCTACTCTTCCAAGACAACAGTCAAATGCTGCATCTTCTCTAAAGCCTCCTCTAACTCCCCAGGCACCAGATTCATAACACGGCACTTACCACTTGGTGTTGCGACTTGCCACTTCCTGTCTTTCTCGTGGACTGGGACATTAACGATGGCAGGAAGTAAGTTTTTTTCTCTCTATCTCCCCAGTGCCTGGCACCAAGTACATGCTGGTAAACATTGAATGATGGAACAGATGAAGACTGAGTTTCTCCAGGAAGCCTTGGTTTGCTCAACGCCTCTGGCATTTTCATTATCATTTAATGATACCCAGAAGCCTCTTGTCTCAACAAGCTCTTTGCATATCCCTGTGGTCATTTCTACTCTACAGCCCCTGACAATAATCTCGGACATCCCTAAAATCATCAGTGGACATAGCCAGGGATTGGAATCAGAAAGCAAATCCAGGCTGAAATCTGCAGCTTACCAGCGTGTGACCCTGCCCACGTCACTTGTCTTCCCTGAGTCCCGGCTTTTCTTTTTTTCTTAATAGGCCATTTAAAAGACTTTATTGGCTTTTATTTTCTTAAAAATTAATATAGGCCGGGCGTGGTGGCTCACGTCTGTAATCCTAGCACTCTGAGAGGCCGAGGTGGGAGGATTGCTCGAGGTCAGGAGTTCGAAACCAGCCTGAGCAAGAGTGAGACCCTGTCTCTATTAAAAATAGAAAGAAATTAATTGGCCAACTAAAAATATATAGAAAAAATTAGCCGGGCATGGTGGCACATGCCTGTAGTCCTAGCTACTCGGGAGGCTGAGGCAGAAGGATCACTTGAGCCCGAGAGTTTGAGGTTGTTGTGAGCTAGGCTGACGCCACGGCACTCTAGCCAGGTCAACAGAGTGAGACTCTGTCTCCAAAAAAAAAAAAAAAAAGGAAAGGAAAAAAAATTAATATAATGATGATTTGTCCCGTGTACTTCATAGGGCTCTTGCGTGAATCAAATGAGATATGGGATGTAAATATAATCATGTGCAGTAGCAATTTTTCTGATTACAAATGGACCATCATTTCTTTTCTTTTTTTTTTTTTTGAGACAGAGTCTCGCTTTGTTGCCCAGGCTAGAGTGAGTGCAGTGGTGTCAGCCTAGCTCACAGCAACCTCAAACTCCTGGGCTCAAGCAATTCTACTGCCTCAGCCTCCGAGTAGCTGGGACTACAGGCATGCGCCACCATGCCCGGCTAATTTTTTGTATATATATTATTAGTTGGCCAATTAATTTCTTTCTATTTATAGTAGAGACTGGGTCTCGCTCTTGCTCAGGCTGGTTTCGAACTCCTGACCTCGAGCAATCCGCCCGCCTCGGCCTCCCAAAGTGCTAGGATTACAGGCGTGAGCCACCGCGACCGGCCGGACCATCATTTCTTATTGCTCATAGTTTTTCTTCTTTTTTTATTTTTTTATTTTATTTTATTTTTTTTCAATTCCAACGAAGCCTCCAGATAAGTTTTTCTTGTATATATAATATTATATATAGTCCTGTAGTCCTCTCATCTGACTTTAGTGTATGGTTCATCTGGATTCCAAGTAGGTTTCTCTGATGGGACAAGCAAGGACTATGTTTTCTGTCCTTTCAGATCCCCTGAGGCTAAAGTGCTGAGGACTTGTTTGCTGATATGTTGACTGATTAAAACTCCAACCTGCGGTCACTGATGAACTATGCTTTCCTGCCCGGAATGCTGGGGTAAGAGAAAAAGAAGGGGTTTGGAATCAGAAAAATCCTGGCTCTGCCACTGGTTACCCATGTGACTGCAGGTAAGTTAAGCTCTTGTGACTTTTCCTGATTTGGTAAAGCGGGGATGATTAACAGTATCACCTGCCTCATGGGGCTGTGCTAAGACCACAGTGCTTAGCAAGTGCTAGGCAGGTGTTAGCTGTTATTAGCATTATGAGGCTTAGAGGTAGCATCTGACAAATGCTCTGCATGTTGTAGGTGCTGAGTATGTGGGTATGTGTTGTTAGACATCCTGGTTCCCCATTTCTCTGGAACCAAGACAGATCTTTCTAGAGAAGCCTATCTGTTTTTTTGTTGTTTTTTTTTAAACTCAGCCCTGAGGTAATGGTTGTTTTCTGCACTAAGCAGACCATGAGGTTTCTATCCAGACCCCTCTCTCCAATTGTTATTAAAGCCAGATGACATATGCAGATTGTCCTCATGCCTGTGCCCCTGCCTGATGCAGGGCCCCTTCCTCCCCCACCACTGTCCTGGTCCAATTCAGCACAATTTAATTCAGTGAGTGTTTGCAGAGTGCTACCCCATGCCAGGTACTGCACTGACCCGGAGACGCAAACAGAAGTCTGCAGCTTGTCCCTGGAACACTCCTGGCTCATTTCCACTTAATCTGGTACTTCCCCTTCACCTCTCCCATAAAGGCCCTGGGGAGCTGAAGGGAACAGCTGCAGCCAGGAATTCTCATCCCTCCTCTGGTGGCCTGGGATGAGCCCCGAACCCTCCTAGAACATCAGTTTCTCCTCTGTAAAAAGGAGTTGATTTTGATCCTCTTGCAAGCATTTCCTCTTTCTAGAGGAAAATTTAGAAAGAGGGCCAATTTAGAAAAAAATTAACATGTTTGTGCGGAACATTATTTAATATGAAAACAGCTGTATTGAGTCTTTCTTTTCTTTCCTTTTTCTTTTTTTGGAGACAGAGTCTCACTCTGTTGCCCAGGCTAGAGTGCCATGGCCATGTCAGCCTAGCTCACAGCAACCTCAAACTCCTGGGCTCAAGTGATCCTTCTGCCTCAGCCTCCCAAGTAGCTGGGACTACAGGCATGCACCACCATGCCCGGCTAATTTTTTCTATATATTTTTAGTTGGCCAATTAATTTCCCTCTATTTTTAGTAGAGACGAGGATCTCACTCTTGCTCAGGCTGGTTTCGAACTCCTGACCTTGAACGATCCTCCCGCCTTGGCCTCCCGGAGTGCTAGGATTACCGGTGTGAGCCACCACTCCCGGCCTGTATTGAGTTTTATGGAATAGAAGTTGTAAGTGGGTGAAAGTACTTTGAAAACCAGAAAGTAGTCTATAAATATCTGTTTCTTGCCATCAGTAGGATTGCTATCAGATGAAATGTGTGATGTGACTTTGCTATCAGGTTATCCCACTATCTGCCATCACTTCGGGGGACTATGGGATAGTGGAGATAAACAGATTGTGGAGGGGTCAATTTTCCATGGGTCTCTTGCTTTTCTATATGTTTTGTGAGTACAGCACACAAGAATCTGCCCTTTTGTTCTAGACTATATTTTTAATGAGGTTTATACAGTGAAGTGTCTTAGAAGATAAAGATAAGGGCAGGCTTGCCTGTTATAAAAGATTCAGGTTCACTAAGCTCAGGGCTCCTGCCCTGTGATACAACTTGTTCCATGCTCAGGTATCTGGCCCTCCTCACACTACCCTGTGGGAATTGGGAATTAGGCAATGTGGCTGCTGCTACAGCTGTGGGTGACACTGTCCTTTGTCTGTGGTGCAGAGGTCTCATGTCTTCAGCCAGCATCCATGACACCGGAGCAGACTAATGTGTTAGCTGTAATGTAGGGTAAAATCTCATGTTCTTCACAGTTCTTGTCAATTATGCTACTGTGACATCTATGGTCACTGTAGGAGGAAAGGCGAGTTAAATGCACTCCATTCATTCTATTCATTCCTGCATGGTCAACAATGGGCAAATAACCTTCTGAGTAGTTCCCATTGTTCCGTGTGGAGCCTTGTCTAACTCAAAGTCCTACTGGGCCAGGACCACATCCCTACCCCGTGTTCTCAAGCAGAGGAGCCCAGAAGCTGAACAGAGACATTCCAACCGAGACATTCCATTCCGAGTTGCCTTGTATACCTTTGCTGTCGTGAGATTTTTTTTTTTTTTTGCATGAACTCCAATCAACTTCTACTTAATCACTCTATGAAAGGTTTGGAGTATCTGGTTTTGACTCAGTTTTAAAAGTTATCAGAGCTGTCTAGAGTAACAAACGGGCTACTTTGGTAGACATGAGTTTCCTGACACTGGAGGTAATGGAGTTGGAGACCACTATAAAGAAGCTGGAGACCGTCTGGTAGGATTTTGCAAAAGAATAGGGAGTAGATCTAGGTGACCTTTGAGGGACCTTCTGACTTGATGCACAGGTGACCTAGTGAATAAGTGGAGCCCACACGTCCTGACTCACTGGGTCTTGGCAGCTAACTGCTTTCCCACGCTGGCCTATGGCACCACTCCTGGGGACTGGGTCATGATTTGTGTGCCCTGAACAGTGGCACTCACGTTAGTTGGTGGGGAGCTAAGGAAGACAGGAGTGTTTTGAGATCCGATTATTTCAAGGACTGAGGAGGCACGCCAGGTAGACTGACCAATCACCAGCAGAACTCTACAATAACGCTCTGGGCCAAGCCTAGGCCTGGGAAGTGGGGATCTTCGTGAATGACCCGCCAACACTCCTGTCTGCCCTGGCTATCCACACTTTCTCTCCATCAGGATGGGGACTCATGACCTTGTTAAAAGGCTTTGGGAAAAGAAGCACTGACAGAGCTAAGAACTTCTTTAAAGGACTTGACCTCCAAAGAGCATCTTGCCTAGTTAGATGCCCCGGGGTCATGATCAAGGTGGGTCACCTACAGGGACTATCCTAGAGCAACCAACTAGAAAGAGCCTTCTCGAGATGCTAACTGTGGGAACGTTGGTTCAAGAAGTCGAGTCCAAATGAAGTTTGTCCAGTTTCAGACTGGGACCTAGATTAGAATCTCACAGACCTCTGCCCCAGCCTGTTTGGGTCTCAGGAGCCTGTGAGGAAAACCAAATATACAAGCTTTGGATGGATGTCATTTGAAGGCCGTCTGGCCCTTTTGGGTTAAAAATGACATGGATCTACAAGGAATTTCTCACCCCACCAGCAGAATAGAGCTGGGAGATACCCTGCATTTATTGAAGAGGAGATCATGTTCACACCACCCACCTGAGTAGCTTGGATGTTCACATTTCCTTCTCTTAAGAGCTTCCAGACGACAGCCATGTCTTCATCGGTCTCCGGAGAAGCCAACGGAGTGATCATCACAGCAGTGTAGCCAGCTTTGTTCTGATGGTCCACATTGCAGACGCCTACAAAGAAAGTAGTGGATGCTGGAATAGCTTCCGGAGGGCCAGGAGCCAAGCTCCACTTTGGCCTGTTTAACAGGATGCTGACTGCTGGTTGAAATGCCATGGAACAGAGCTATCCTTTCCACAGGTGGAGCCAGTGGTTTACATTTTTAGCAGCCTTTAAAACTGGCTACTTTTCTTTACAAGTTTTCTAAGGATACCCAGCAAGAGAGGTCCACAATAGAGCTAGAGACGGCCAAGGGGGCCAGTGACCATGACCTCATTTTCTAAAATGGAGCACAAGACATTCTTCCCATTTTACAGATACGGACACTGAAGGCCAGAGAAGTTACACAAACAGCTCATGCAAAGGTAGACTGGGACCAGGACTCAGGTCTGTCCAGCCCTAGAGCCCGTCACTCACCTGCCCACATGCTGCCTACAGCTGTGCCTTCCAGGTTTTACCCTCACTACCTCATGTTTATGTGCAACTCTTAAACTGATGGCTTGTCTATAGGTCCTTTCCAAGGGCATAGTGACCTGCTGAATAATGTACCAGGGGCATGAAAAACACCACGGGATAAACATGGGAAATCTTCAAAGATTTCATGGGAAATCTTCTTCTTTCAAGTGAGCAACCATCTCACTTGAAAAAGGATGGGAGGAAAAGCTCCATAATTTTTATATTAAAACAATTCAGAATATATCTTTCACAATACAATGAAAAACTGGCTTTTTTTTTTTTGCTTTTTTTTCTGAGACAAGAGTCTCACTCTGTTGCCCAGGCTAGAGTGCCGTGGCATCAGCCTAGCTCACAGCAACCTCAATCTCCTGGGCTCAAGCGATCCTGCTGCCTCAGCCTCCCGTGTAGCTGGGACTACAGGCATGCGCCACCATGCCCAGCTAATCTTTTTTCTATATATTTTTTAGTTGGCTAATTAATTTGTTTCTATTTTTAGTAGAGATGGGGTCTCGCTCAGCTGGCTTCGAAACTCTTGACCTTGAGCAATCCTCCCGCCTCGGCTTCCCAGAGTGCTAGGATTACAGGCGTGAGCCACCGCACCTGGCCTAGTTAATGTATTTTAAGCACTTAGAATAATGCCTAGTACACAGTAAACATTCAATAAGAGTTAACTGTTATTACCATTATTGTCCAGAATGGTATTCTTGTGGGATTAGGTGTTCATTATAACAAATCTGGCTATGAAAAAATGCCAGGGCTACTTACAAGTTCTGTGCAAGTAGAAAAACCAACATTTGTTTGATATTTCCTCCACCCCACAATTTTTCAAACAATTTTTAGAACTATGCTGTAGTTATACCAGGATGTCAGCAGATACAGAAAAATCAGTCTGGCTCATTTATCAGCAGTTTCCCCCTCCAGCCCCTGGGCCCACTGTCATGAGCAGGCAGGCTACGAAAGCCGAATAATAACTCCACGCATCACCTCATAGCCTGTTCTGAAAAAGAAGTGAACATTTGCACTGCCTCGTTAATAACTTTTTTATTTCTGCCCCTTGACTATTTTCTGCTTGCTTTTTAAAATGTGTGAATGAGCCTGAGGTTACCAGTTCTCTTTTATCTCTTCAGAAACCTGACTTGTGGCTCAGCAGAGTGAGGTCTGCCTCCTCCCCACGGGCTCAGAAAAGGGGCTATAAGGGGCTAAGGACCCAGGACAAGGCAGCAAAGCCCACCCTCCCTGCAGGCGAGAGAGGGGAAGGCTCTGGACTGAGCACACTCCCAGTCAACAAGCTCGCTCTTTGCAACACCCGGCAAGATAAAGGACGGATCACCAGGCACTAAGCTGGCAGACGTGCACTCGCTGGCTCTAATCTCTGCAGTAACGAGTCGCTTCTGTACACCCCTTTACAGGTGGCAATGTGTTTTCTGGATGCTTCACAGCTGCCTCCTAAGGGAGCCCAAGTTTGTGAGCGTGACAGATCTCTCATCCTGAACACCCCTGCTGCAGATGAGGGAACGTAATGGCGCTTTTAGCCCGTTTTCCCCCAAACTCCTTCAGACTTTGTGCTGTGGCTGTTTAGCTATTATTTCACTATGTTAAAGCGGAAAGCTTCCCAACCACTTTAAGGTTGATGAGTATTACCTGGATTCTTAGTTAACAACAGCAGATATCTGTAACACTCAAGTCTTAGGTTGTCCTGGAGGACTCCCCTGGTGTGTTAGTCCATTTTGTGTTTCTGTAAAGGAATAGCTGAGACGAGGTAATTTACACGGAGGTTTATTTGGCTCACAGTTCTGTAGACTGTCTAAGAAGCACAGTGCCAGTATCTGCTTATGGTGAGGGCCTCAAGGAGGTTCCAATCAAGGCAGAAGGTGAAGGGGGAGAAGGCATGTCACATGGCCAGAGAAGGAGCAAGAGAGGGAGGAGGAGGTGCCAGGCACCCTCAAACAACCAGCTCTCAGGAGAACTCAAAGAGCGAGAACTCTCTTATTACCATGGGGAGGGCACCAAGACATTCATGAAGGATCTGCCCCCATGACCCAAACAGCTCCCACTACTCCTCACCTCCAAAACTGGGAATCAAATTACACCATGAGATTTGGAGGGGCCAAACATCCAAACCATATAACTTAGTTCTGGTGCACACCCCCCCTCCCAAATCCTGCACTGATTTCCCAGGCCCTTTCAAATAGGGTTCAAACTAGTCAGCCTAGCACTCAAGGTCCTCCATTCCTCCATGCTGTGGCTACAACCTTAATCCACACCCCATCCGAACTAGAAACTTTCTGTTCTCCAGGCATCTTTCCCTTTTTCAACCTCCATGGAGTTCTCTCTACGAGGGACACTCTGCCTGCTGGAAGTCTGCCTGCTCCAGCGCACCTTTGCTGCTGCCTGGGCTGGACACGATCTCACCTCTTCTGAATCCCTAAATCACATTCTTTTTTTTTTTTTGAGACAGAGTCTCACTCTGTTGACCAGCTTAGAATTCCATGGCATCAGCCTAGCTCACAGCAACCTCAAATTCCTAGGCTCAGGTGATCTTCCTGCCTCAGCCTCCCAAGTAGCTGGGACCACAGGCATGTGCCACCATGCCCGGCTAATTTTTTCTATTTTTTAGTAGAGACCGGGTCTCGCTCTTGCTCAGGCTGGCCTCGAACTCTTGAGCTCAAATGATCTGCCCACCTTAGCCTCCCAGAGTGCTAGGATTGCAGGTGTGAGCCACCATGCCTGGCCCTCTAAATCACATTCTGCATCTCTGCCATTGTCCTGCTCTGCCCTGATTGTTAGGCTACAAGCTCCTGGCAAACAGAGGGCTCACCTGGCTCACCTTGCAGCCTGGCGCTAGCCAGTGTGGAACTCACGTTGCAGTCAATAGATACCTGATGAAAGATGAATGACTCAAATTGACTCAAATGGGTCAAATGGAGCCATGACCTTTGTTAAAAAGTTTTTTTATGAAGATGGGAAAATGTGACCTTCCCTAGAGGCAGTAGGGGGTAGCCCTGAGATTGGACAGACCGAACACAAAATGTGACTCTACCATTTACTGGCACCTTGACCTGAGCAAATTGTATAACTCTAGAGCCTCAAGTCTCCTCAATGGCAGCATGAGAATAATAATACCCACACCATAGGAATGCTGCAATGTATAAGTGATAGCTACAGACAAAACGGTCCAGTCCAGGTCCTGGCATACAGAAGGAACTCAGAATAGTGAAGAAGTTCCGTGCTGGAAAGAAGTGTGGTACAAGAATTGTCCTTCAAGGAGGGACCCGGACGGAAGAGATGCAATCGTTTCTCACCTGTCTCCAGCAGCAGCTTTGCGATGGAGAAGTTGGAGTGGGACACGCTGTAGTGAAGGGCAGTGTTCCCGTTGCGATCAGCCAGGTTGACAAGCAGCTTCAGGAAATGTGGGGAGTGAGGCTGGACCCCGTGCAGGTAGGCAGCCACCATGGCAGGGCTAGACGACTTCCGGCTGGAGACGCGGAACCACTCCTGACTGACGGTGTTCAAGCTTTGCCTCTGAAATACCAAAAGAGTCCAATTCCAAGAGGTTCCCTGGCCTGGGGAGCCCCAGCTAGGGTTCCTAACTTACACCGAAAAGTCAGCTTCAGATACCTCCACCTCTAGCCCTTCAGCTCCCTCCAGCTCTCCATGTGGGTCATTCCTGGGGGCTCAGAGCCAGTAGGGTTGGAATGCAGCAGCGCACTCTGTACCTGTGCGATCCACCCCCACGGGAGGTAAGACAACACGGTAACCAGGAACAAAGCCCTTCACTGGCCATACTTGGAGTCTACGGTAACCTTAGCTCACATCCACCGTGTGCATACAGGGGAAAATCACAACATCTCACTGATGGGAAAAATGCGTGCTGAAAGCTCAAACAACATCGCCAACCTATGCTTGGAATAAAACCCAAACGGGTGTGTTTGACTTATTTTTGGCTTTTAAGCTTTGCTGGTGCCTTCAGAGTAAATGGTTTAACAGCCATGGCAGGCCCTCGCTCTCTGTAGTATTCAGGTCCTCTGGGACCATGAATGAGAAGAGTTCCAGAGCCAATGACATCAACTCTGTGTGTGACACGACCTAAGTGCTTACAATGGATCATGTTTAGATTATTTGCCCTAAAGGGGAGGAAAAGCTGTTGGGATGTGATTATTAGAAATGATTTCATACTCATTCTGGAAAGAGCACTGGATTTGGAGTCACAAAATCAATGTGACCAGGTTTAAGACCTGGCTCAGCTGTGTGACCTTAGAAGTCATATAACATTTCTGAGCCTTGTCCCTATTACAAAAGGGGGGCTGGCTCCTGTCCCTCCCATGGCCCTACAGAGTGAGGTCCTTATGAGACCTGCTTTGTCTCTAGGCAGGGGTGAAGGAGGTGTCCTGTGTTTTGATCTTAACATGGGTGTGGTGTCAGGCTTGCATATACACATCCTCTGGTCACTTTTCTTGGGCAGAAACAGTGGAATCTTTTGTGGCTGAAACACTTCTATATATCAGAATATCTCCTTTACCCATGGAATCTTCAAGAACACCTGGAGAAAGATCCTAATATTAAGGAACAGAGGGGAGGATTTAGAATGAAGAGCTAAGAAATAACTTAGTTCTTTTTTTTTGAGACAGAGTCTCACTTTGTTGCCCAGGCTAGAGTGAGTGCCGTGGCGTCAGCCTAGCTCACAGCAACCTCCAACTCCTGGCCTCAAGCAATCCTGCTGCCTCCGCCTCCCCAGTAGCTGGGACTACAGGCATGTGCTACCATGCCTGGCTAATTTTTTCTATATATATTAGTTGTCCAGTTAATTTCTTTCTATTTATAGGAGAGACAGGGTCTCGCTCTTGCTCAGGCTGATTTTGAACTCATGACCTGGAGCAATCCGCCCGCCTTGGCCTCCCAGAGGGCTAGGATTACAGGCATGAGCCACCGTGCCTGGCCAAAAGAACTTAGTTCTACAATTTAAGAATCGATAACAGGGCTGGGCGCTGTGGCTCACAACTGTAATCCTAGCCCTCTGGGAGACTAAAGCAGGTGGATTCCTTGAACTCACAAGTTCAAGACCAACCTGAGCAAGAGTAAGGCTCATCTCTAATAAAAATAGCTGGGCGTGGTGGCATGTACCTGTAGTCCCAGCTACTCAGGAGCTGAGGCAGGAGGATCCCTTGACCCCAGGAGTTTGAGGTTGCAGTGAGCTATATTGACGCCACTGCACTCTACCCTGGGTGACTCTGTCTCAAAATAAATAAATAATAGGAGTTTTGATCAATATCCACATTATACATTGGTTCTTTAACAGTCTGAGAATAGCTATTTGCCAAATCAACTAGGACAAAACAATAAAGATGGGTTGGGCAAGGAATAAACACTGATGAATTGTTTTTACTCCTAGGGCTCTTCTGCAATGAGACCAAAATGGCTTTTAAAACTGCCTACAGGTTGTTCCACTGTGGGCCATACAGCTGCCCTCATAATGTGGGAAAATGCGTATGTGCCAGTGTCCCTTGATTAAAAGTAGAACCCAGGCCAAGTGTGGTGGCTCATGCTTGTAGTCCTAGCACTCTGGGAGACCGAGGGGGGGATGATCGCTCAAGGTCAGGAGTTCGAAACCAGCCTGAGCTAGAGCGAGACCCCGTCTCTACTAAAAATAGAAAGAAATTAATTGGCCAACTAAAATATATAGAAAAAAGTTAGCCGGGCATGATGGCACATGCCTGTAGTCCCAGCTACTCGGGAGGCTGAAGCAGCAGGATTGCTTGAAGCCAGGAGTTTGAGGTTGCTGTGAGGCTAGGCTGATGCCATGGCACTCTACTCTGGGCAACAGAGTGAGCCTCTGTCTCAAAAATAAATAAATAAATAAATAAAAAGTAGAACCCAATTGTTAAATTTTTTTTTCCCCTGGGGCCAGAACCCTCGTTCCCACTGGGCATGCTTCTTCCTCTGCACCTAGGTACTCTGGAACCTCGGGGCCATTCCGAGCCTAAGCCAGAGACAGTGGTGACAGACACTGAGGGTCCAAAGCCTAATGGGGCCAGGGAAATGCCTCTGAGGGCCCTGCCGCTTCCTGTGCACATCCGCCAGTTAGTTCCCCCTCTCAGGGTGACCTGTCACCTCAGACAGCTGCCTCTGGGGAAGCCAGAGAACGCCCAGACTGCCTCAGGCAAGGGACCAAAGTCACCCAGTCTTGCTCTTAACTGAAGGGAAATCTTTACATGATAAATAAGAATCAGAGTACCAAGAGCTGGTCGGTGGAGGTCCCAGTTTCCGGCAGCTGTTGGCTCAATGCCCGGCATGCAGTAAGAAATTCTTCCGAGGGTTTATATCTGAAGAAAACAAATACATAGATGTTTATAGAATCATTCTCCGTGTTGATAGAAAAAAGACTTTCGCCTTTCTCCTCTTTCACTTCCCAGCAGCTCAAACACCCACATGGGCAAACACCCCAGGACAGGGGCCGTACTCAGAAACCTGGGTGGCCACAGAGTCCCCACAACTCTGCTGAAGAGTGAGTCGAGCACCCTGCCCGTTTCATCCTGCTTTTGTCCGGGGTCGGAGCAGGGAACCAAAGCACTGGAGGCCACGGGTCCATTCCAGTTCCTGACATGAGGGAAGGGGAGGGCTGTCTTTCTGACTTCAGACCCAACATTTTCTGCCTGGGTGATTAGAAAGATTCAAAAAACCAATCCATACCAGCAAATGTCTTCAGGTTATTCTTCCATGAAGGACACTGTTAAGTACTAACAGGGTCAATAAGATGAGACTCATTTGGGGGGGGGGTGGAGGTGTCCGCAGGGACAAGCGCTCTGCCCGTGTTAGATGGAGGGCAGGACTGGCACCAAGAGGCCTCAGCTGGGACTTACTGGCCTTGGTCACTGAGCGGCCCGCTCGCTCGTCACGTCCTACAGCGCCGCTGCGTTGGAGCAGCCCTGTGCACCTGCGTGACTACCAGCTCCCGTTCTCTGTTCACCATCCTCCGGCACGCAGGCTGAGGATGGCGACAGTGGTGATGGTACCGACCAGTCTCATCTCTACCATTTATCAAGAGCCTACTCTGTGGCAGGCACTGCGCTAGGCATTTTACTTGCTTTTTCTCATACAGTGCCCAGACCAAACCTCAGGTTGCTATTATGCACATTTCACAGGTAAGGGACACTGAGGCGGCCACAGCCTTAGGACCTTGCCTAAAGTAACACCACAGCAGAGGCAAGATTTAAATGCAGGTGTGTCTGACTCCAAAGGCAGTACTCTTCTCGTCACGCAGTATGACCTCTGTCACTTTAAATGATGGGGTTACATAAGCATGGCCAACCGAAGGGGCAGAAAAGCTCGTGGTTAAGAATCAGAGAGAGAGGCTGGTCCGAAGGTAGTGAGTTATCTCACGTGATTGTTCACAGTCAGTTACAGATTGAACTCCTTGTTCTACTACTTTCCCCCCTCCTCACTACTGCACTTGACTAGAAAAAAAAAAGAAAAAAAGAAAGAAAAAAAAAAAAAAGAATCAGAGAGAGGCCGGGAATGGTGGCACACGACTGTAATTCTAGCGCTCTGGGAGGCCAAGGCGGGAGGATCACTCAAGGTCAGGAGTTCAAAACCAGCCTGAGCAAGAGCGAGACCCCATCTCTACTATAAATAGAGAAAGAAATTAATTGGTCAACTAAAAATATATAGAAAAAATTAGTCGGGCATGGTGGTGCATGCCTGTAGTCTCAGCTACTCGGGAGACTGAGGCAGGAGGATCACTTGAGCCCAGGAGTTTGAGGTTGCTGTCAGGTTGACAGGGCCATGGCACTCTAGCAAAGAGTGAGACTCTGTCTCAAAAAAAAAAAAAAAAAAATCAGAGAGAGAGGGCTGGAATCCCTGTTTTGCTAGCTGCATCCTTTCACTCCTCTAAGCCTCTATTTCCACATCTGTAAAGTGGGGACATAATAATCTCTACCTAGAAAGATTGTGAAAAGGATTATATAAGATAACATTTGTAAAGTCCTTCCCATTTTCAGTGCCAGGTAAATGTGGCTTTAGATGTGGAGATCTGGCTGTAACAGTCAATTCCACAAAGGCAGGAGCCACTCTGATCAGTTCAACCAGTGCACAGTGGATGGGTGATGAAGGAACAGATTAACAAATGACCGAATGAGAGGGTGGATGTATGTCCTTTTGCAGAGGACCAGCTGCCCCGACTTGTGCCCATCTGACTCACCTCTCAGCCTTGGAGTGGGGGACTTCTTCCCCAGGCCCACTTTCCTGGCCTGGGTGGCGGGTGCCCTCGGGGACGCCCTGCCCGGCCTCGCAGCTGGGGTGGGCGTCCTTGGTACACCTGTGTTCTGGGCCATCACATTTCTTCTCAGCCTCGCTGTCAGACAAGTCTTCTGGGGAGCTGTCCTCGCCGCTGGTCTCCTCACTTGAGGTGGTCTCATAGCTGGGGAGGGAGACAAAGGCCACTTGTCCTGTCCTTCCTGCCCAGTGCCCCTGTCAACACCAACGAGAGCTGGGTGGGCCTCAGGAAACACTTGCTAATCTCCTCCTCCATTTTCTACACCTGCAGCAGGGGCGAGAGGGCTGCCAGGAGTCCTAGTATCAGAGAGACAGGGCAAAGGGCTTTGGCTCTCATGCTGGGGGCCATTTGGGGGGAAAAGATAATTAACTGTGCTCTTGGCAGCAAACACAGAAGCAGCCCTGACCCCTATTGGCTGGTGCATTTAGGTGATACTTTCAGGCAATCCAGGTCTCACAAAAGCGCTTGCTTCTGGAATCCTAACGTTAGGCCAGGAGAGGGGCCCCAATTCAGGCAGCCAAGCCCCCAGCTGCACTCTGAGTTCTCTGAATTGCCTAACAAACCTTCCCCTCTCTGGGTGACAGCGAGACCTCCCTTTTTAGGCCGCCTGCTCCAGCCCAGCTTGCACCAGGCAAAGGGTGATTCATCCACACCTCCTCCCAGCAGGACTGTGTGGGATACCCTGACACAGCATCTGCCTTACTCGGCCGGCCGCAGTCTGTTTGAGCTATTGCTTGGAGCAGCTAAACGGAAGTCACAGGCCACCTGACTTGCGGCCTTCCTCCCCGCAGTGACCCTTATGCTCCATTATAAGTGGCTCTATTGAGTTGGCAGACCAGAGGCTGTGGAGGAAAGCCCTGGAAGATTTATTGATTCCCTGCTGGTGTTCAACAGGAACCCCCCGATGGAGGATGCTGGTGGTAAGATGAAGATTTTGGGTTCTGGGGCCACTGGACACAGCCATGGGGACTAGTGGCCATGGCCTTCATGGCACCCCTAAGGCCCCTTCTCAGAAGGGCGGCCCCTGTGGGTTTGCAAATCCAGCCTGCTCTCCAGTATGCTCATATTCTGTTTTGTTTAATCCCAGATATTTCTTCCTCTATCACGCTTGGAACAACCTTTCACTTTGGTGATTAAGAGAGTGGGAGACATATAACATTTAACAAACAGTGTTCATCTTAGAATTGCCCCCATAAAAACTCCACCTGAAAGTTTATTCACTCATTCAACAGGAATTTATTGAGCACCTACTACGTGCAAAGCACTGTTTTAAACTCTATGAACAAAGCTCCCTGCCCTAGTGGAGCTTATATTCTAGGAGGGAGAGGCAGAAAATAAATATGTAAACAAATATTACATTCAGACAGAGATAAGAACAATGAATAAAATAAAAAAGGGCTATGGGATAGAGGGATGTTTACTTTAATTAGAGCAGAAGTTCCTAACCTTGGCGGAACATTAGAATCACTTGGGGGTGTTTACAAGTCCGAATACGTGGGCTATACTCAGATTAATTAAACCAGAGTCTTCAGGGAAGGGACCCAGGCATCAGGATTTTTAAAAGCTCCCTGGGTATTTCCAATGTGCAGCCGAGGTTGGGAACCACTGCCCTAGAGGACCAAATACTGAAGACTGCCTATTAGGGGAGCACTATCAGCAGGTGACAGCAAATGCTGGGGCCCGGAGATGGGCCTGGGCTCAGCACGGCGTAGGGTGGACCTGCGACAGCTGCAGGAGCTGAGGCAGCCAGAGCCACCATCTGGCCCTCCCAGGGTTGGGTACAGAGTGGGGATCGGTGGGGGCATTTAAGCTGGAGAGAAGTATGACCTACGTTGGGCTCTGAGATGAGGTTGATGCTCCTCTATATATGAACTAGTGGAAGCGCAGGACGTTAGAGGAAGTGGGGACAACAACTTTAAGACATTCAATTTCATCATTTCTGATGTTTCCCTCACAAAAGCTGCAACAATGACATCACCCCTTGTTTTCCTCTAGTGTCTTCCCTTCTGCTGTGAATTAGCAGGGATTCTGACCTCTCTGGGCAGCCTTCAAAATCCCCCAGAGGCTGGGCTGGGATCCCTCCTTTGGGCTTTCACAGCATCCTACGTGTCCCTGTGTGATGTAACTTACTTAACACATCAGCATTTCCTTTGAGACAGAGTCTCGCTTTGTTGCCCAGGCTACAGTGACTGCCATGGCTTCAGCCTAGCTCACAGCAACCTCAAACTCCTGGGCTCAAGCAATTCTGCTGCCTCAGCCTCCCGAGTAGCTGGGACTACAGGCATGCACCACCATGCCCGGCTAATTTTTTCTATATATATGTTAGTTGGCCAATTAATTTCTTTTTATTTATAGTAGAGACAGGGTTTCGCTCTTGCTCAGGCTGGTTTCGAACTCCTGACCTGGAGCAATTTGCCCGCCTCGGCTTCCCAGAGTGCTAGGATTACAGGCATGAGCCACCGCGCCTTTTTTTTTTTTTTGAGACAGTCTCACTCTGTTGCCCTGGGTAGAGTGCAGTGGTGGCATTGTAGCTCACTGCAATCTCAGACTCCTGAGCTCAAACGATCCTCCTGCCTCAGCCTTCCAAGTAGCTGGGACTATGGGCGTACACCATGACACCCAGCTAAGTTTTCTATTTTTTGTAGAAACTGGGTCTTGCTCTTGCTCAGGCTGGTCTTGAACTCCTGGCCTCAAGCAATCCTCCCACCTCAGCCTCCCAGAGTGCTAGGATTTACAGGCGTGAATCCTAGCTGTAAATCCTTGCTGGCTCACCTGGCCAGCATTTCCTCTTTATCTTATTTGTGAGCTAAATGTGGGGAACATAATTTATTTGACTTTATCCCCACGACCTAGCACATTGCTGGCATTTAATAAACATTTGTTGAATGATTGTTTTAGAAAATATTCTAAATCCAACACTCAATTCTCTAGAATATATATAAGGCTTGGTTCATGTTCTAAGTCAATAGACTGGTTGTTTCCTTTATCCCAAAACACTTGGGTTTGATTTATAGGAAGTTAAAGAAAAAATTAAATGGATGAAATTTGAAGTTCAACAAATTAACAGAGTTTTTACTAGTTTCAGTGTTGTGGTTCAGGTTAAATGCCATCCTCAGAGGGGCTGCTTGTGGTTCAGGTTAAATGCCATCCTCAGAGGGGCTGCGCACCCTCCAAACTCCCATAAGCCACCTGGAGTCCTGGCCCTGGGTGAGACCAAAGCCAAGACATATTAAAAGCAGAGGTTCCGACAGACTCCCACAGTTGGCAGGAAGCCAAACACATGCAAACCCAAGACGGAGTCTTAAAGAGCCACTGAGATTAATTCCCTTGAAGAAGAATGAAAACCAGATGCCTCCCCCTAGGAAAAGAGAGTGCTAGGGACAACAGCAGGAGAGGTAGCAGGGAGGGCGGTCTGAGCTTCACAGGCGATGCTTACCCACCGTTAACCCCAACAAACTGAAGGTTCTTTTTGGTCCCATTACCTCCTGCACGGAAGCCATAGTCTTTCTTTTTCATTATGGATTTAAGGCTGGTTGACGGGGAGATCTCTAGGCAGACACAACATCACAGGTTAGAACGAACCTTGGGGACACACAGGAATGCAGCAAAACCAGGGTCCTGCTTTGGGGGGATATAGGGTGCAGGCAGGTGGGGGGGTAGGGACAGGGAACCAGGTCATGTAGATCAAATGTTTGGGGGGGTCTTCTGGGAGGACCTGGCTTTCTGGTCAATCTTGGAAGAACTGTCCCTGTAAATGGTCCTCTCGGTGTGGATGAGAGAGTAGAGAGCTACTGCACTCTCTCAGAAGAACTATGTGGTGTGGGTGCCACTGTTGTCCCTGATGTCTGGGAAATCCGAGGCTCAGACATGTTCAGTGAATGGTGGAACTTGGGTCTCTGGACTCATCGTCCAGCACCTACCCCTGCTCGAGGGCACCTCAGCGCCCTTCCTGGCTCACAAGTGCACGTTGACACCTGTGATGTGGAAGTGGTGATGACACAGTGCTCAGGGCAGACTCATGAGCAAGTGTAAATCCTGTGCTGTGCTCAATGGCAGTGGAAGCATTGCCCAGGGGGAAAGACTAGAACTAGCCCCGGGATAATGAGAGGGAAGCCAACTTGTGAGCCCTGGCAGGAAGCAGACTCCTTACATGCTGCCCGTGGAGCAAAGCAAAATATGGTTCCACTTTACCCAACAGCGAAGAGGGTTTGATCTGTTACAAAGGGAAGTTAACAGCCAAAGGGCTGATTTCCACATGTGAGCATCACTAGATCCCAACCCCCCCCCCACTTTTTTGTGCATGCGTGCACACACACACACACACACAGAAAATATGCAGTGAACTATTCCAGATCTCAATATAACGTTCCTCCAAAACCAGGCTAGAGAAAACCTCTACTGTGCGAGAACCACAGAGGAACACAGGAATGCAAGAGCCTAGGAAACAGTGGAGGAAGGCTGAGGTTTGGAGCCCACGCAGCAGGGCCGTTCTTGGCCCCAGACGCTGCCTTTGCACAATGCAAATGAGAGTAGGCCCCTCTGGGTGGATGCACTGCTTCAGCACATGACTTGGCAAACAGAGCCTGGGCTGGATTTCTAATCTTTTGTGCCCCTCCTGGCTGGCATCTCTGTGCCCTGTGCTTTCTGTACAGCTGTATGTGGTGGTCCTGCAGTGAGACCCAACCTTACAGCAAGGACAAGAGTAGAGGTACTGAGCCTCCACTGTTACACACATCAGTTTTTATTCCCCCAGGGTTCCTGGAGATGCTATAATCTTTTTAAAACTCATGCAATTGAGAACCTTTTTCCCTCTGACTCATGGCGTAGAGGAGACATGGTTCCCTGTCTCAGGCCCCAGTATTTACCCTTCGGTGGGGAGGAGGGGGCCGGGGGCTCCTTGTGCTGGGGGGCCTGGGCCGAGTAGGCAGACAGCAGCAGGTTGAGGGAGCTCAGCAGCTGGCTCTGGATGCTGCTCAGCTTGGAGGCCGGCTGCCGGATGGCGCTGGCCAGCTCCGGGTACCCGTGCTCCAGGCAGCTCCACTGCTCCTGCAGGAGCTCCTGGATCTTCTTCACGTATTGCCCAAGGGTGGCATCTGTTGGTGAGCTTGGTGGCCTTCCCGGGTGCTCCTTCCCTGGGAGCTCTGAACTGGGCTCCTGCCTCCCTGCTGGGGGAGTCTTTCTGTCACTGCTCCACGGAAAGCCTCCTGCTCCCCTGGCCAGGCCCTCGGCTCCTCCCTGAGGGTCTCCCTCCTGCTCTGAGTCTGCTTCTTCAATCCTGAGTTCGGTGGAGAGGCAGCTACCTAAAGAGGAGGAGAGGACCTTCTCGGGTCCCTGCAGCAGTGACAGCTGGGGCGGTAGCACATGTTCTGTTGGGCTCTGATCCCCTTGCTTGGGGCTGTCTTGCCCCCATAGGAGACCATTCTCCGCCCCGTGGGCTCCCCAGCTTTCAGATTCTGTGACGCCCGGAAGGTTGACCTCAGTGCTCTTGTCACATGACTCCCTGGTCAAGAGTCCATGGAGAGGGTCAGTGTTCACCATGGCATCAGTCTGGCCCTGAGCTTCTCTGGCGGTCTCTTGGCTAAGCTTTTCTTCCAGCTGGGCTACGGCGCGCTCCAGCTCTTGAATCCTCTGCTCCCTGGCCTTCACTTCCTCTTCCTGCTGCTGGAGGGCAGCCCTGACCTGCGCCAGCTCCTCGGTTCTTCCAGACAGCTCGCCCTGGAGGGCCGAGACCTGCCACTCCAGGCCGGAGACGCCGCCGGCCAGGCCCAGGCTCTCCTCGGTGACCCTGACGCCCACGCTCCTCACGTCCACCTCCACGGGCGGCGGCGGCGGGATCTCGCTGATGCTGAGCTCGATTTCCTCCAGGGGCAGCTCGCTCTCGGGGATGGGCGACGGCAGGGGCGGGGGGCTTGGCGTGGGGGAGCCGGGGGAGACCGCCACCTCTGCAGCTCCCGCGTCCTGCGGCCCCACAAGAGCACCGGGGAACGAGGAGGGAGGGCCGGGGAGGCCGAGGGGGCTGGCAGCGGTGGCGCCACCCGCCGGAGGCTCGGCTCCCTCGCGGACCAGCTCCAGGGTTCCCGGCACCGGCTCTCCCAGGTGAGAACCTGCGAATCCTTCCGCGGGGCCGAAGGCGCCGTCGCAGACGCTGCCCTCGCCCTGAAGTGGCGGGAAGGAGGGAGGCGCGGGGGCACCCGAGCTTAGGCGCGGCTCCTCGGGGGCCCTGCTCTGCTGCAGCGTGGCCGGCATGCTGGACGCTCGCAGGAGCTGGGGCCGCCCGCTCCCGGGGCCCAGCTCGGTGTCCTCCGGGGCCGCAGCCTCCAGCTGTCTGCTGGCCTCTGCCAACACGGCCCTGCGATGGTAGCTCAGCTCGCTCCCGCCGGCGGCCGCCTGGGGGGCGGCGCCGGGCAGCGGAGGCTGGGTTTGCTCCTGTGCCCCAAGCGACACTTTCCTCAGCACCCCTGGCGACCAGTTGTGGTGGAGCAGGGCGGCCTGGGGGCGAGCCCCGCTGTTGGGAAGGCTGAAGTTGCGGGGCAAAGTGCTAAACTTGGCCTGCTTGGCCCTTCTGTGGATAGGAATCCTTTTGATGGTGTTTCCCTTCTCGATGTCATCCACATACTTGAGGAAGTCCAGGTCTAAATGAAAGCCATATGGGGTCTCCACCGAGTAAGGGTGGCTCTTTGGAGGGTCTTTCTCTTCATCCCCCTGAGAAGACTGGTCTTTGGCTGGGGGACATAAGACATGTTAAAAAAAAAAAAGCACAGAGTTAATTAAGAATTACAGGGCCATGAGGCCTAATGTCTGTGATTTTGACTTAACAGTATCACATGAGACTTCTCCTAAGTGTTCTAGCCTCTAAATTATGGCTGAGATGCTCAGTCTTTTTGGCTGTCCTGGGAAATCATCTTATTAAATCAATGTGTACTTAGCCAGTGTCTGCAAGGAAATAGGTAGAGGGAATGGTTTCCAATTTGCAATATGTCATCAGAGTGACTACTGTGGAATCTGCCAGCAGACCTGCAAAACAAAACTGTCTCATGCTGGTTTTTTTTGGGGGGTGAGGTTTGAGTCACATAATTGCCAAACTGAAGTGGCCAGGAATTTGCCAAATTAGGGTACTAATTGGCAATTACAGATGTGGAAGGTTTTAAAGGATGAGATACACATGGATATCTCAGTATTAAAAAAGAAACTTGCAAAAAAATAATAACTTGCATTACTCAAACAGCTAGTAAATCTTGTTTAAGCCAGAGGTATCAACAAGTTGTGCCTTTTGCATTATTTAAGCTTGCTCAGGTGCCTGAGCCTCAGGTACACCGACATCAGAGAGAACCGCAGCAAGTAACCACACACAGCCTATTCTCCTTCCACCTGAAAACTGCTTAGTGCTTCCTAAACACCAATGTCACCTTCAAAAACCCATGCCAAGTAAGAAAATACCTCCTTTGGCCAGGAACTCCATGAAAAAAAAAAAAAAAAGAAAGAAAAAAAAACAAACAAAAAGGAAACACCACATTTATCACAGACTGGAAAAAGGATGTCAAAGGAAAAGGGCCAATTAATGTCAAAAGGACATTGGCATATATGCTCCCAGAGGTGTGGGGCTCGCCTTTTCAGGACACCCAAACTATGGGGAAACATCATGATGAGAAAGTTCTCCATTACACCACAGCACCATTGATCTCTGTGCAGCGGCCACCTATCGATCCCAACAGAGGACACTAAGAACAAGTCAGTCCTTCAACTGTTTGAATCCACAGGGGCTTGTCTCCAACTAACCTCTTCTCCAAGTTAATGTTTGTTCCTTCGATGTTCCTCATGGGACACCCTTTTCTACCTCTGTCACATTCTGCTAAATGGGCTCTGAAAATTCTGAGCTCAGGAGAGAACATTAATGAAGAGTATAGAGATTAAGAATTCAGGTTCTGGAGCCTGTTCTATTTCTCTGTTCTGTGAATTCTGGGGAAATTACTTAGTCTCCCAGGTGTCTCATCATTTGCAAAGTGGGAATAATAATAAGTGAGATAAAATTACTGTAAGGACTAATTTATACTAAAGCTAAGGTGCTTAGAACAATTCCTAGCACATGATAGGCATTTAATACATGCTCAATATTGTATTAATAGTTATCTTTGTGGAAGTCCCAAGTAAAGAGAACTGAAGTCCCCAAATATAAAGCAATTCATAAGACTCACTGCCTGGTCTCTACAAATTGTCTGTGACTGATTGCTTGGCTCTCAGGGTAGTAGGCTCTGGGTACGAAATTACAAAATAGCAGTAATTCAATTCACTTATCTTAACCACTATTGTTTCAGCACTTATGTGTCTGTTGCTAAACTAGATCCTAAGGACACAAAGATGAATTAGGTTCAGCCCCTGCCTTCAAAGAATGTATGATCAAGTCAGAGGGACACAAACATGTGCAGTATGATAAGGAAAACCGTTCAAGATATAGTCTTCTTTCTTGTCTTCTTATCCAGTTTTTCCAGAATTATTTTCTTGGACTTGGAGGCTAATTTTGTCTTGGTAAGAGAGGGATGACTCCACAAGAGTGACATATGACTGAGTGTTAAATGGGTAAGTATGAAACTGCAAGCAGAACAAGACAGGGAAAGATACTGTAGTGGTTTATCTCTAAGATGACCACCATCAATTCCTACCCGCTTTAGACAAGAAAGCTAATCCTACATTGAGAGGTAGAGTCTATTTCTCTAGATTTCTGAATCTGGGCTGGCCTGGGACTGCTTGGCCTGGGACTGCTTTGACCAAAAGAATATGGCAGAAATGATGCTGAGAGACTTCCAAGGCTAGGTCATAAAAAGCCTTTAGCTTCCGCCCGGGTCTCTTAGAATGTACACTCAGTGCCATGTAAGAAGTTCAACTTCTCCAAGACCGCCATGCTGTGAGGAAGCCCAGCCAGCCCCAGGGAGAGGTCAGGTGGAGAGAGGGAGAGAGATGTTCACCTAGCCCCCAGCTATTCCAGCCATCCTAGCCCTGGCACTGTGCCTGAGTAGAAAAGCTCTCAGCCATGATGTGACTTCAACTATAGGAGGGCCTCCAAAAGTAAGAACCACTCAGCTGAGCCTGTGTTAATAATAAATTATTGTGTTCAGCCGATGAGTGTTGGGGTGGTTTGCTATGCAGCGATAGCCAGCACAAACATTCTAGACACCTGTCAGAGAATGTGTGGGGGCATGGAGGTGTGAAGTCACACAGTATTTCTGAGTTCTGCAATGGAGTTGATAATGGCCAGAACTTAAAAAGTGTGGTAGAGAAGGGTGAACGGAAGAGAAAGATAAAATTGAAAAGGCAAGAAAAAGCCAGATTGGGGAGCAATGTGTGTGCACCCTAACTAACTCTGACTTTACTCTCTAGGTCATTGAAGGGTTTTAAACATGGGAGTGACTTGGTCGAATGTGATTTCAAAAAGAGCATCTTGAAGAAGGTGAGGGGAAGAGCAAACCAGAAGCCCAAAGACCAGCTGAGAGGCGGCTGACCTGGTCAAAGAGAAGCTGGAGGGAAAGGGAGGGAAAGGGAAAGGAGTGTGAAACTTGCGGCCACGTGTGGCCTTCTGGATCCTTGAATGCAGCCTTTTTACCGAGTCCAAATTTTACAGAACAAATCTTTTAAGTAAAGGAAGGTGCTAATGGTGGCGTTTCCCTAAGGGCAATGACAGATTGGGGCTGAGCTCTTCCCACTGGCCTGATTTCTCCTTCCCCTGGCCGATGCCACATGCTTGCCTTGTGGCCCTCTGTGCTTAGAGGAGTACAGCTCCTCCAAAGAACAAAATGACACCGAGTGGATACATGAAGGCTGAATTCACGAACATGGACACCATGGAGGCTACCAGCCATCAGTGCCAAGTAAAGCCACAGGGCCTGCAGGCAATTATGTTGCAACTGCAGGAGGGAACAGAACCAGCCTCGGTGCTGATTCAAGGGATGGTCTCCGTTGGGTTCCAGGGCTTCTGCAGCAGATACCTGGACTTCAGATGGATAAGGAGCAAATGTTCCTCTAGCATCCCAAAAAACTCCATATACGTTCCCATTCACCTACATTTTTTTTTTTTTTTTGAGACAGAGTCTCGCTTTGTTGTCCAGGCTAGAGTGAGTGCCGTGGCGTCAGCCTAGCTCACAGCAACCTCAAACTCCCAGGCTCAAGCAATCCTGCTGCCCCAGCCTCCCGAGTAGCTGGGACTACAGGCATGCGCCACCACGCCTAGCTAATTTTTTCTATATATATTAGTTGGCCAATTAGTTTCTTTCTAGTAGAGACAGGGTCTCGCTCTTGCTCAGGCTGGTTTTGAACTCCTAACCTCGAGCAATCCGCCCGCCTCGGCCTCCCAGAGTGCTAGGATTACAGGCGTGAGCCACCGCGCCCGCCATACTCTTAGACTTATTGGTCCACTCAGCAGCCTACCTCCTGGACTACAAGCACAGGCCAAATCAGAAAAGAGATATTTGTCCGAAGTTAAGCAGAGAGCAGATTTATGACCCAGAAGACAACTCCTAAAAGAGAGGCTGCATTTTTCATCTGCTTATTGCCTCAATTCAGTAGAAATGCACTGATTTGCCCAGCGGCCCCTGGGAGCAGGTCCAGAGCACAAATACAATAATAGCATCAAGTAAGAAAGAGCAGATTCAAAGGCAAAATCTTCCACAAGGGAGAGGGGAAGGGAAGTGAGATTGAGCAGCTATGGGGCATGACAGGTTCAATAGGTGCTTCCCCAAGCTAGCACTGTGGGGTCTCTCTCTCTCTCTCTTACACACACACGGATCCATCAGGTCACCCTGCCTGCCAACCCCACTCTGCAATTCGTCTCTTTCTTCCAGTGCAAGAGGAATGCTGGACTTTGAGGAGGGAACCTGAGCTGATGTGCTGGGAGACCTACCCTCACATGAAGCTCTGCTCCTATTAATTCTACCTGGTGACAGGTAGGCAGGAGCTCAGAATTCCGGGCATTGGGCCAGGCCAAAAATTAATTAGGAGGGAGGACTGGCTCTGCTCAAAATGAACTTCACATCAGATAAACCAACACAGGGCCAAACTGGCTGGATTTGAATCCTGGCTGTGATCTACCTGTGTGACTCTGGACAAATTATTTCACTTCCTTGTGCCTCAATTTCTCTTGTAAAGTGGAAATAATCACGCCTCACTTACAGAGTTGCTGTGACTATCAGCACGCATGCAGCAGAGAACAGGGCACAGAGGAGGTTCTGACAAAAAGATTCTGAAGGCAGGGATGGCTGGTTCTGCATGGGGCAGGGGAGGATTTGCCGAGGATGTGTCCTGTCCCTCTTTGTTAGGACTACAGTCTAGGGCAGAATGAGAGTCCAAGAAAATAATTCTGGGCCGGGCACAGTGGCTCACGCCTGTAATCCTAGCACTCTGGGAGGCCGAGGTAGGCAGATTGCTCCAGGTCAGGAGTTCGAAACCAGCCTGAGCAAGAGCGAGACCCCATCTCTACTAGAAATAGAAAGAAATTAATTGGCCAACTAATATATATAGAAAAAATTAGGTGGGCATGGTGGCGCATGCCTGTAGTCCCAGCTACTCAGAGGCTGAGGCAGGAGGATTGCTTGAGCCCAGGAGTTTGAGGTTGCTGTGAGCTAGGCTGATGCCACGGCACTCACTCTAGCCTGGGCAACAGAATGAGACTCTGTCTCAAAAAGAAAGAAAAAAAAGAAAAGAAAAGAATTCTGGAAAAATTGGGAAAATGAGTCAGGGGCGAAGAAAAAAGTAAGACACAAGAGGCTCAGAGCTTCCTGGAATTCCCCATGGAGTCTTGCTTGACTCCACTCTGCTGCAGATCAGCAGACTTGCAGAGGCCCTGCGAGCACAGTCATAGTCAGCCCGGGAGTCACACGGACACAAGAAAGAAGGGAAGGAAGAAACTGCCAAAGTAATTACCTGGAGCGACAAAGTGAGGTACAGCGGGTGAGTGAACCAATTAGAGGCATTTAAAGTGAGAAAGAGAAGTTCAAAAGCCTGTGCTCAGTTTCTGAAGGAAATGGGGAAAACAGAAACTAGAGAAAAAAGTAGCTAAAAATAAAGCTGGAAAAGAGGGGAATGCAATGAACCTTTTCAAAAGGCCAAGACAAGGAAGGAAGCCCTTCCCTCTTCTGTCCTTGTTCTGTGAGACAGGCGTGGGTGTACCTGGGAGGGTGCCTTTCTGGAGCTAGCCGTGGGCAATCACGTGGCGGCCAGGGCCACGTCCAGGGTACTGAGCAGGGAGGAACGGGGAGGCGGGATGACAGGGCCCTGGGGCATTAAGGGAATTAGCAGGTGCTCTGTGGGACCACTGCCAGGGATGCGCTGAAAAGGCGGCTCTCTGGGAAGAAAGGCCAGACTCTTGAAATATAAGCTAACTGCATTTGGAGGAAAGGAAGAGGCGGGGCTGGAGCTGATGTCTGGTCCCTAAGTCCTGTGCCAGAGAAGGGCCATGTGATTCAAGGGGGATTATGGGCTCTCCTGTTTCCAGGCTATCTGGAAAAAAACATTTCTTTAGAAGTCAGGAGATTGGGATCTAGACCAGGTCTCCTGGGGAGGGGAAGAGGGAAACATTCATTGAGACACTCATTGTGCTTAGACAGCTATTACTCAACGACTTTACATGCATTATCTAATTTAGCTCTTTATCAACCCCAACAACTAGTATTAATATCCATTTATAGATGAGTTGTGGTAGCCTGCAAAAATAGCTGCAATAATACCCCACCCTTGGAGTACGCCTCTACCATAGTGATCCTGGGCTTGGCCTTGTGACTTGCTTTGGCCAGTGGGTCGACGGCAATGTGACATATACAGGGATTTGAACATTGCTTGCACACTAGGGTGTGTCTTTTCTTGCAGTGCTTAAACCCCTCTGCCACCATGTGAATAAGACCCACCTAGCCTCCTGGATGATGACAGACACATGGCCAAGTCATTACCGATGCCCCAGACATCTGTGTGGCCATTCTAAACCATGCAGCCCCAGCTGAGTCACCCAGAAAAATCACAGACATGTAAATGAGCCCAGAAAAGATAAGCTGAGCTGACCCACACCAGAATAATGGCCCTACCCACCTACTGACTCTTTTGAGAAATAATGTCTGTAAGTCACTAAATTTTTTTAGCTGTTTGTTACACAGCAAAGCTAACTGATGCATGAGGGGACTGAGGCTCAGAGACATTAAATGACTGGTAGAGTCACTAGGTATGGATGAAGGCTCTTTCACCACACGGTGCCTCATCTGTAGAGTGAGGGTGATGAGTGACAGCACCTGCTCCCTTCTTGGTGCTTGGATGAGATGAAAAGGCACTCTGAGCATTGCACAAGTCCAATATTTTGGAAGGCGTGAGAATATATAGTAATAAACCAACTCAGTTTCTCCCGTATTCTCACTCAACAATGAACACAGAAAACTTCTGTGACCAAATGTGTGTAGGTTTTTCTCCACACACCAAGCAAACAATCAGTTCTGCAGCAGACACCAGCTGAGTGTCCTCCAATTCAATTCCAACACTGTCTACCTGGAGATAGCCTCAGATCCCACAGGGCTCAGTCCCCAAGAATGTCCCCCACTTCTCATGCCAATCACAAGCCCCGGGTTGTTCGACTTGTGCTATAAATCCAGGTTCCCACAACCCCCTCCTCAGGTTTAATTGATTTGCTAGAGCAGCTCACAAAACCCAGGGAAACCTTTACCTCTGTTTACTGGTTCATCATAAAGGATATTACAAGGGATACCAGTGAGCACCAGATGCAGAGATGGAAAAGGCAAGGCATGGGAGAAGGGGCGCTGGGCTCCCATGCCCTCTCCGGGCACGCCAACTTCCAGGAACCTCTACGTGTTCGGCTATCCAGAAGCGCATCCAAACTCAGTCCTTTTGGATTTGTACGGAGGCTTCCTTACATAGGAATGTTTGATTACACCGTCGGCCATCGGTGATCAACTTAACCTTCAGCCCCTCTCCCCTACCCAGAGGCTGGGGGTGGGGGGGTGAGGATGAAAAGTCCCACCTCTCTAATCCTGCAGTTGGTCTTCCTTGTGACCAGCCCCATCCTGAAGCTTCCTAGAGGCTGCCAGCCACCAGTCATCTCATTAGCAAATGAAAGGACACATAGCTTAAGAGATCCTGAGGCTTTTAGGCACTGTATGCTAGGAAATAGGGATGAAGACCACATAAGTATTTCCCAACATAGCAAGGCTTCGTTCTTCTTCTCTGCCACCTTCTCTAGGTCATACATGCAATACCTGGTGTGGGCCACTGCCTGCCTGGGAAATGGCTCCAGCCAGGATTTATGGTAACAGTCTCTTCCCAGCCCCAGGGCTCACTTTAAGCAAGGACTACCGGGCAGCTGCCTACCATTCGTTTTCTCCATTTTAGGGAGTGCTGACCCTCAGTCTCTCAGCAGCTCTGCATCCAATGAGTCTCTAAAATTCGTCGAAGAGTTCTGAAAGAAAGAAGGATAGAGAAATGGAGTCTCGTTAGAGTTAGAATAAGCATTGAGGAAACACGGCACCAAAGAAAGTAGCGCCCATCCCTGCCTTTCTCCCAGGGGTGCCCATGAGCTCACAGCCCTCCAAGGAGGGAGATGAAAAGCCTGCACACACTCCTAGCGCCCCACTTTGGGTGTTACTTCATGGAGTGGGTGTAACTTCGTGGGATGTGAGCAATAGTTCGACCAAAGGAAGCATTCAGCTCAGCCCCCGCACTTGGCAGATGAGGAAACTGAGGCTGAGTTTTTTCTAGACATAGTCTGGCTCTGTCACCCTGGGCTAGACTGCAGTGGTATCAATGTAGCCCACAGCAACCTCAAACTCTTGGGCTCAAGCAATCCTCCTGCCTCAGCCTCCAGAGTACCAGGGACTACAGGTGCACGCCACCACACCCAGCTAATTTTTCTATTTTTAGTAGATACAGGTCTCACTCTTGCTCAGGCTGGTCTCAAACTCTTGGCCTCAAGTGATCCTCCCACCTCAGCCTCCCAGAGTGCTAGGATTACAGGCGTGAGCCATTGCGTCCAGCCGAGGCTGTGAGGTCAACTGCTCTGTCCAAGGTCTCTCAGCATATACTAGGGAAGGAGCTGGAACCAGACCCAGAGCTCTGACAACCAGCACGGGGCGCTTTCCATAACATCAAGAGTTGAAATCTACCACCACCATCCTGGTAAGAGAATTACAATCCATTTTGTGAAAATAGCTGGAATCAGAGTACCTATAAGTGATGTGTGCATCCCAATCAAGTGAAAGACAAAGATGAGATCATTGCAAGGACTGACAAGGAAGTGCTACTTAGAGGTGATTTCTAACTGTGGGCAGAACTAGGGGACGTTCAACCTGGGTGGCCAGAAGACATCAGTAACTATTCAAGCAGAATATTGTCCTGACTCTGAGTTAGTGTACCTTGAGGTATGACCGTAAATTCTCCCCAAAGTTTTAATCCATTCCCAGGACTCTTTCTTCAAATGGCAAACAACCTAGCTCCTGCTCCCATCACCACAAATCACCCGGGAAATCGGCTTTTTATGATCGCACCTCCACATACATCAGAATAACGAATCGTCTGTGACACACCGCAGGGGAAGCAGGCTTGTTTTAGGAATCCCAATGGGCTTGACAATGAACCCCAGACCAGAAAAGGGAACCAGTGACGGCGGAAGGGTTGGGGAAACAGGGTGAAAGAGAAAGATGAGGGGTGGCCCCCAGCCACCCAGGACGGAAGGAAGGGGAGCAAACAAGTAACTGGAGAGGAGGGCTGGGAAACGTGAGAGTTGCCAAATAAGAGAGAAATTCCAAAGTTTGTCCAGCAGAAAGTTTAGCATCACCTCTTTCTGTGAGCGCTGCTTCCTGCCTTCGTTCCTCCAGCCTGTTTACTAAGCAGCTGCTACAGGGGCAGCCGGGCAGAGTGGAAGGTTCTAACGTGGGGTGAGGGAGGTGTGGCCTCGTTTAAAGAGAAGGCTCCCAGGCAGAGGACACTGCTGCCTCTCTCAATGTCCCAGCGCTGCAGTGACTGCAGTGGGACATGCTGGCAGGTGAAGCCTGGGGAGGAAAAGGGTGCGGAAGCAAACTCTGAGCCTGGCCCCTGGTCTGCTTCATCGCTGCCCCTCCTCCTCCTCCTGCTCCCCCTTCCCTCCTGCTCAGTAATGTGCACATTACTACCCCCACAACATTACTGAGCAACAGACAGAGCTTGGAGCACATTCGGGAATTATGTCAGGCAAGTCTCACCATAACCTGGAGAGGATTATTATTATTCCCATTTTTCAGGTAGAGAAACTGAGGCTGAGAACACTGACAGAGCGGCTCGAGGTCACACAACAAGCAAGCGTCGGAGCACGATTTGCCCTCCAGTCTAGCAGAATCCAAGCCTGTGTTGGTTTGCAAACCTGTGTCATCTGTAAGCCAGCCCAGTTCAGTGATGTGATGAGTGACCCCCAGTTCTCCCTGCGAGGGGAAATGTTTCTGACTGATGCGTCTCTGCTTCTCCCACAGTGGACATGAAAAGCCTTCTAGGCACGGAGAGGAGAGCTGCTCTCTTGTAAAGCCTTCTGGGCCACAGGAGAGCTCTGCTTCTCTAAGGCTGCACACTGAGTGACAGGGCCACCGGGGTGCAGCTAGACCTCTGGCTGCACAAACTCTCATGGTCACCCTGGGCACTTCAACCACACTCCCTGCCTCTGGTTAGAATCAGGAATACAGCTCATTGTGCACCAGATGGTGAGACTTCAAAGAGTTATTCAGCACACATTAGGTCGAATTTCATCAGAAAGAACTCTGTAGAGACCTATGAAATTTCTCTTAGACTTGGATTTTACTAAAATTGATCATTTCAAGGCTACAGAAATTAAATGGAGCTGACATCCCACTCTCTGAGGAAGGGGCTTGTGATACCAGAAGGAAAGGAAGGAAGTGTCATGTGCACAGGTCGCCACTGCCAGCCCCTACTGCCACCTTCCCCGCTTTTCTCCACTTTTCTCCATGGTCCTTACAGCAGATGTCTTGGAGTTTAGCTAAGGGGATTTCCTTCAAGTGGGTGGATGCTTGATATGGTTAGGTGAGTGGGAAAGAAGAATTGCCACCTCAACACACGCTACTTTGTTTGCAATACAACAGAGTGGGAAAATGGCTTTTTTGGACAGAATTCCCCTTCCAGATGGAATTTTACAAACCTCTGGAGCATTTAAAGCTCAACATAAAGCCATTTATTACTCATTCTGTTAAGCTGACTCCCCAGCATTCAGAACCTTTTAATACCTGGTGTTGCATGTAACTTTTAATTTGTTTATGTCCTATTCCAAGGTCAAGGGTCCCCTTTTAGGGCCCAACCTCTCTCCTTAGCTCATTGTAGTCTAGATGTTTTGAGTGTATACAGGTTTGTCTCTCCCTTGCTCTTCTCCCCTACGAATCTGTATGCTTATAAAGGTCAGAATTTTTGCAAGACTCATCCCTGTGTCACTCCAACTCCCTGTGTCTACCATGTGGCAGACACTCAGTCCATGGTTCTTGAATGAACAAAAGGAACAAAATGATCTGTCTTCAAATCCCATGGAAAGAATCCATGGAAAGAAATTAACAGGTGCTAAGCACTTACTCTGAGAATCAGGTACTGAGTATAGTTTCTGATTTCACCCTCATACAAACAATCCTGTCCAAGTTACAAATGAGGAAATTAAGGCACAAAAAGTCTATGTGGCCAATCCGAGCAGGACAGTTGTGTGACTCCATCATCCCATAGTGCCTTTCAAAGCCTGTGGGGCAAGGAGAAGGTGGGGACCGAGGCTGCCTGTTCAAAATCCACCGAGAGGCAGTCTCTGGCAGACAGTACTGATGGTTCACGTGTAACTACCCGGCCAGGTGGGAAACGATTCCAGCAGGTCCACCCTTGGTGCCCAGGAGCATGGATTTCCCCAGGTCAGCCGGACTCCTGTGGCATGTACCCTACTCCCTCCTCCTCTCCACATTTATTCCTTTTACGATGCCATTTTCAACCTCATTTCTAACCTCAAATTCAAATATATAAAGAAACCTTCCCTTACTTAGTCCTGAAATTGAAACCTGGTTCTGCACTTTTGTTTTCCTCAAACCTCTCTTTATTCTGCAATAATAAAAATGCCGTTTTTCATCCCAGAACAGGCTGCATGCCAAAATAAATAGCACCTTGGATTTCCTTGAAAAGAGAGCTTGGCTCAAAGCACAGCCTCATTGCCACGAGAATTCTTAGAGAATTCAACCTTACAAAGTCAAATGTTTAGCAAAGTAGCACACCAAACAGCAACCCTGCCAGTCCCCGCCTGATCACTCAAAAACACAAAGCACTCTTTCCAAAACAGAAAAAACGAAAATACACCCATACCTCGGACCAATCCTGTGAAGATGATGAGAGCTTCCTGTTTCCCCATCCCAGGACCTCAAGCTTCCAAGTGTAAATGATTCCCTGTGCTAAGAAGCAGGAGGCATTTGACAGCCGCTTCTTAACACAGAGAGGGCTGCAGCCGGGACACCAGGGGAGGTGAGACGCACTCCTGGAAAAGATTCTGCCACCGAGTTCTCCAGCGTGCTCACTTCCCGCCAACTCAGGAAACAAAGAGATAACTCATGCTCCATAAGTGACACATTAACACAACCTCATTAACTCCATTCTCACATTTTTTTTCTTTTCTGCAAGTGTCTGTCATTTTTGTCTGCATTGCAGCAGCTGAATCTGGAGCATCAGGAAGAAGAGAAAACAGCCGGGAGGAAGGCTGAGCCCACAGTACCTGCCCTTGCATCCCCCCCCCCCTGCACAGCCCCGAGCGAGCAGGGAGGACTCATCTCCTTCCCAGAAAGCCAGGTTTGGGCTGCGGGACGCAGCTGATCGCCCGTGTGCCTGTCACACAGCCGTGTCTGCTTCCCAGCTGTTAGAGGGCTCGGTCAGGTGATCCATGACCTTGCTGGAAAAGCAAATACTGACTTCCTTTTTGCTCCCGGGAATAGGTGAGTGGGTCAGAACGGAATTCACTGCTCTATAAGCTAACACTGGACCTTGCAGAAAGAGGAAGAACGCTCAAATCCGTCACCTGGAAAGTTAGTTTCCAGAGCTGCCAATGCTTCGGAGGGACACATCTGAAGACACCCAAACCACACGCAACCTTCCTTCTCGACTCCTCCGAATCTGGCAGCGCATCCGAGCAGTCGTCGTTAATTATGCTCTTCCTCCTTCCTCCCTGCAGCTGATGCGGCACATTAATGAATTCGTTCCTAATGAGGACGCAGCTTCCTTCAGTTGAAACCCTTCGGTGGTGCATCGCTTTCTTCCTGCCTCTGCTTTAGAAACATCCCCCCTCCCCTCCTCCTGGGGTTCCAGGACCACGCGAAGCCTCTGATCATTAAATGAATGAGAGTCTGTCAGGGCAGAGCGGAGACAGAAACAATGACCAGTAAATTCCTGGGCCCCACTGGCAGCTCCTGCTTCCTGCTGCTCCACCAATCTGTTGCCCTTGAGCACCAAAGTGCACCCAGATCTGGCAGGAAGAGAAAAGCAAGGAAGTCCCTGCTGCGGCGACCAAATTACTGTTCAGTGGATCTGGCAGGGTTTCTAACTGCAGCGCAGACCAGAGATTTCGGAGGGGCGGGGTGGAGGAGCCTGGGAGGAGGCAGCCGCGGGAGGAAGGCTTCAGACTGTCCCAGGCAGGCGCTGAGGAGTGTCTGTCCGGCCCAGGCTGCCGCAGTTGGCTG